ATGCTTGTCAAGATGACAATAGTTTGATTGGTATAGTCGATACACTATCAATTTGAGAGTTTTAGAATACTTAGTGACTCAGCAGTAATCTTTGGTTCTCACTTCATAAGTATCCTCAGCCTGTGAAAGAGGATAGCACACAAGGACTATGAGTGCTACACCTGCTTTGAGTTGGGGTAGCCTGCTTATATTATAAGGGAGGAGAAAAGACTTATTCCGTGCTCTTTTGATCCAGTGGTTTTTGCTGGCTACTGCCTTGTAATTTTGCCACTATACCATGTTACCTGGCCTTAGATCTAGCTAATTATGGACTGAAATCCCCACAAACGGTAAGCTAAATAAACTTTTCTTCCTTCATTTTGGACATTGGGTATATTATCCCAGCAATAATAGAAATGTAACCAAGACACTACCTTTCTTTAACCCTACACCTGTGATCAATTTCCAGCTTGAGCCATTCCCTATGGTATGTCTTGACAAAACTAATCAAGAAAATATAACATCACAAATACATATTTTTCTGAGAATAACTGTATAATAAAAATTTTGCATTTTGTTATTTTTAAAAAACAATATAAAGGGGTTATTACCCTCAAATGGTACTTCCAGTTTTAATTTTCTTGGGATGCTTCAAACTGATTCTCATAGTGGTTGTGTCAGTCTACACTACCACCAGTAATGAAGATATTCATTTTACCTGACATCTATGCCACAAGAATATATTAATTTCAGTGACTCATTCAGAGATTGTGTCTTTAATTTTGGTAGGTTTGTGTGTTTGCATGTTTCACTTATCCTGGTTATTAATTCCTTGTTTGAATAAAGACAGGCAATTTTTTCCCACTCAATTCATTGTCTTTGTTACTGTTGGTGATTTCCTTTAATTTTCAAGAAGTTTTCCGTAAAATAAGTTCCTGTTTTTTGGTTCCTTGTAATACCACAGCAATATATCCACGTTCATGTTTACAGTAACACAGTTCTCAATTACTTAATGTTAGACAAGTTACAGATGGTTACCAAACAATGAATGGACCAAGAAATATTTTGTTGCTGTTTCATAAAACTAAATACTAATCATTTATAAGTAAGGATGTACTTGAGGCATTTCTAGTTGATTGGACTCACCTTGAAAAAATAATCTTAAGTCAAGTAAGTCAGTTGCATCTGATAAATGCCATATTGTTTTTGTGGTGTGAGAAACTAAGGAACAAGATTATGTATTAGACCAAAATTTTATAACAGACATTGTGAAATGAAAAGAAAATATTCAAATAGAATGGGTAAGTAGGAGAAGGCTGAGGAAGGAAGGAAAAAATTTGAAAAACAAGGGGAAAAGCAAATATGGAGATAAAACTTTTGTAAACAAAAGGAGGGAGAAAAATATTTGAAGGAAGGGAAGAGAATTCAAAAAAGAAGTGTCAAGTCAGGAGCAATTCCCCTATAATGAATGTGAATGTTATGTATATCTAAAATATAACAGCATCATTAATTAATTAGAAAGTTAGGAGTTAGATCTTGTATGAAAGCCTGGTTCAACATTTAAACATCAGTTAATGAAATCTATTTTGGAATGGTAAAAAATAATACACGTCAAATTTTATAAAAATGATAAAATAAATCCTACTTCCCTTATTGACCTAAAGAAACTCACAGAGAGAAAAAAAACAAAGGATACATTACCCACCTTGATAAAATATCTGTGCACAAAATTACTGCTAAGTAGATATTCAAAGTGGAGGAAGCATTCTTTTGTATCTGAGCATGAAAAAAGGATGAATACCATTTATCACAACTTCTAAACACAATATTAGCTAATTGATTTGCCATGAAAAAAAGTAAGTTGCATAATTTGTAAAAGTGAAATAAATGTTATTTTTGCTTTCAAATAGCATGATTGCTCATTGTTTACAGGGAATCTCATGGAACTGACAAAAATACAGAAAAATATGCCTTTGTTTTATAAAGAAAGCAACTCAATGGACTTACAATAGCTTCCTATAGAAAATGAATCAATTTATTTTACTTATCTAATGAAACATTGGATTTTATGTAGAAATCTGATAGCTGCATCTAATGAAAATATTTTAGAACATGCAAAATAGAAATATTATTAGGATCTAAATTTTTCTTTTGCACATCAGAATGTGAAATTCTGATGATGCAATTCATATAAATGATTTAGTGATTAGAATGCATAGTATCTGGGAACTAGAATTCCACACAGATGAAATGACCCATCTTTAAAATCTATTCTTTTAACAAAACTTCCACCAAGATTATGCAGATATCTTGAAAGTGTCAATAAAAGGATAATCAAAATAATAATAAAAAATAAAATTGATGGATTGACATTCAAAAACAATTCTTGCTATTAATTCCAATAATGAAGACAGTGTGATGCTGTTGGAAAATAATAACTAGGCAACTAGAGTTAAACAATAGACAATTTAAAAATCAATTCACAGAAGTCTACATAATGAGGAAAGTTTGACAATTTTATTGGAGAAATAAATATGGTGTTATCATAATGGTGCTCTAGGTTTTTATTTCAATTAATTCAAAATAACTTCCATGGAAAAATCTAAATCTAAGAAAAATTGAAAATTTTTAATTTTTTATTACATTACTAAATAATGGTAGTGAATACATTTTCAAACATGTGGTCTGGACCACGAGCCTGAAGGAAGAATATTTCATTAACTGACTTGCTTAAGCCAAGACCCAAACACAAGAATCATCCAAAAATGAGTCACACACTATCAATGTAGTACAGGATTTTTCAATATGTGGGAACTTTCTGATACTAGAGCTTCTGAAGATGAACTGATACATCTAAAGGAAAGAGGAGGCAGAGGTAGCAGAAATGTGGCTGCAACTGCAAGCATGTGCCAAGCTCTGAAGCCAGGACAGTTCACAACATCTAACTATGACAGAGATGGCAAATACTGCTCATTTTATAAATTTCCTATTGGATTGCCATAGGATTTATTGAATTATTCCTTTCAAGGAGATTTCATCTTAACCTTATTGAAACAATTTAATGTAGAAACATGTTTTTATATTTGGTTGGTGTTAAATGTTATGACACTAAAGTTCGATTAATGATTATTGAGTCTTCCACGAGACCTATCAGTAATCTTTTTCTCCTGGAAGGCAAAACAAAACACTTTTTCTTTTTCATATGTAGTTTTTCTGACATTCATTACTGCTCTTTACTTGTCCAAGTTTTATGCTGTGAAAGTAGTAAGCGTCCTTTGGTACAAGTATCTCTGTACTTTAGCCAAATTTTATGTGCATACATATGAATAAGGGTGAATATTGTTAAAATGACACATTAGAATACTTAGAAATCTAAAAATCATTTTTAATGTAAGTAGTTTTGTGTGATTTTGTTTCTAATTTCAGGTAATTACTGGTCTGAAGATTTTGATCAGTGTGAAGGTCCTGGTTTCAAATCTCACTAATCCTAACACTAACCTTAAACCTAAGCCTAAGCCTCAAGTTTCACATATTAGTGAAAATATGTAACGTGATTTTTTTGAGTCTGGATAATTTATGTATCATCATGGTGAACAACATTTCTGCTTTGTTTAAAATAAAAAAAAAATTTCTCCTTTATTGAAAAGTAATCATATCTACATACCTACATGCATATGTACACACATAGCTAAACACATATGTATGTGTAAAAATCATATTTTCTTCATGCATTAATATTTAAAATCCTGAAGATATTTTATGTTGCTAATGCACTCATTTTAGATTTTTTTTAAAAATGAAAACATTTAAGACACAAGCACTAATTAATTTAGGTAGTGTTATGGCTTATATATGTCCTTCTACAACCTCATGCACTCAAAAGGTAGGGATTCAGAGAGAAAAGTAGATCATGTGTGTGTGATGCTTGAGCCTTGATTTTTCCAGTAAATGGCAATTGATTCTCTAAAGTTAATGTCACCAAGCTCAGTCATCCAGCTACTCTTGTACTCTGCTACCCCTTGCAAAATGGTAAATGGCTTAGCTAACACTGTCATCATTTTATTGTGCTGCTTTTATGCTCATGTGGTATACAAGACTTGTGGAGGCTGGGATGCTTCCACCCAGATTTCAGAAGGTCTAGGAGGCCAGGCAATTCCTGAGAGGGTAGTGTATGAAGTTGGGAATGTGAAGCCAGAAGTACAGTGGCAAATCCAGATGGTTGGAGAAGTCAAGGATATAGATAATCTGATGAAATTCCCAAGCAATCAATACCCAAGAGAGAGCCCATGAGGGCTATAAATATAGTGCCATATACTCATGGACAGTCAAACACTTGAAAGTTCACATCATGCCACATACTACCCCAGTTCTGGTCAAAAATCTATAGGACATTAGGTCTTCTTTGTTGGATTTCTGTCTTACTTTAGTCCCATTCCTTGCTAGGATTTTATTTTCACTATTTAGTATAGGGGTGTTTACACCACATTACACAACAACAGAAGTTTCAATTTTATTTTTTTACAAAGTCTCATTCTAGAAGTTTGCCTTAAATCTCAGAGTATATGTGGCCATTAGACATTTTAGCAATGTTGAAATTGTCATAACTTTGGCAATTCTTACAGATGGGCTAAATGGATTTTGCAAAGTGAAATCCACAAGAGAGTGATTCTCAACAATGGATTAGCACAATGGGTTTATATCTAGATGTGATGTTGGGACATAAAGACTGTGCAAAGAGTTGGGTCACTGTGGCCCAGGAAGTAATGTCTCACTTCTGTTCCCTTGTTCAGGACCCCTGCCTCTCACTGTCATGTCATGAGTTCTTTCTCCATTGCCACAAAACCTGTGATCTCTAGTCATGACCAAGACTAAGCCAGCCATGGGAGGAAACCACTCCAAATTATGAACCAGAATAAACCGCTCTTCTTTAAATTGTGGCTATCTTGTCCAACCAAGGAGTATTCAAATAAAGCATATAATAAGAAAACAACAGGCACTAAGGAATAAAATTGTATTTTTGAAGACTACAAAACATAGGAAATATATAACATAGAGCATAAGTTGTGCTTTGTTCTGTGATGATTTTCATTCTCTTATCTTTCAGGACAAGTAGACTAGCACTTCCAACTGTAGCTACTGGACTACAGAATTATATGGGCTTCAATAATCAGTATTGAAAGAAGCAGCAATGCACTTGACTCTTTGAGGAGACTAGAAGACTTGGGATTTTCAACCCAAGGCATTATGACCTGGTTTAGTGATGGGCCAGCTTTTGCCAAACTAGACAAAATCCAGGAGAAATGGGGACTCACAATTGTAGCTAGAGCCTTGACACTGGTGAAGCCTACATGCATCCATTTGCCATTTGCAGACTTCTCTCTACACATGACAGCACTTCCTGGACTTACTAACTCCTGCAAAGGCAAAAGTAGAGTTACGTTAAATCACGTTCCCAAGTCTATCTAGGACTTTATAGATTACAATGAATACTCAGTAAAGGAGCAGATTTAAGGCTGGTGCATAAAATCATTCTTACTACTCAAAATATTCTAGAATGTACCATTACAAGAAAATCTTTGTGGATTATACTACTGTTGGAATAGATAAGATTAGATTTATCAATCCACATGAAGACCAGCATATTAAAATAAGTGAATTATATGAAACGCCTAACTTGCATTACAAATGCTAAATCTACTCCACCATATAGGGTCAAAAACGAAAAGTAACATTAATCACATGTGTCAAAATTAACAGCATATGCCTCTATTTTAATGTGTGATTGAAAAAGTATATAATTTCAGAGGTCAAGGCATTTCTTCATTGAATGTATATTATTATTTAAGGTTAATTTATCTACCTCTTTAGATACTGACAAAGATAAATGTCCAACGTTTTGAAGGAGAAGTCTAAAAATTCCTGTGAGGCTCACCGTATTTGCATCAGCACCTTTGGCCTTAGAAATGTAGCAAACAATGGAACCATCTATGTCCGGGTATAGATAGGCACAAGTTGATGCTGTCATCACCTGAATCTGTAATTTTTCTGGATTTCCATCTGTCTGTCCTGATGTAACAGATGAAACATAAATATCTTCAGATATTGATTATATTGAAGAAGCAAACATTGAGATAACACTATGTCCTGGTTTATTACATAAGACGGTATCGCTATTTTATTATGCTAAAAGGCTGTGTTTTGCTTGTAATATCATTAGCAGCTTATCACACAAATTATTCCATTCCCCTTGAAGTTATTCAAAGTCCTTTTCAAACAAAACATACTTATTGTCAATATTACAACTTCTTCAAAATTTAGAAGTACATTGTGATTTGTAAAATTCCAAATTCAAACTCAAATCAATCTTCATTTTCCTCATAAGGTAAAATACAAAATAAAACCAAATTTATTCTTTCCTCCTTTTCAAAACTATCAAGGAATTGAGCCCCAAGTCATTTCTTCATTTTATTTAAGTGGTTGTAATATATAGATATATTTTCCTATTACATTTTGACAACTAAAACCCTATGGAGTAATTATCAATACAATCATTTTATGGAAAAATGCAGGTTTTTGTTTTGGATAAAAATCATAATAGTTTTGTATTTAGTAAAATAGATATTTACAATTACAATCTTTCTTTAAATGCTAATACCAAAACTTCAATCCTCTGTTGGTTTAGAATTACTCCCCTAAAAATACATGAAATAACTAACCTGGCTTAAGAATTTGTGGTCCAGACAGCCAACATTCTGAGTTGTTTAGATTCTTCATGTGACCCAAAGGTGCTAATGTTTGAATGGATGTCTGGGGATTTTGCAGGAGCAACAATGCCAGGTCATTTTTTGCTGCCTCACTCACCAACCGGAATCTCTCATGCAGTAGAATATTAGACACCTTAGCAACTTTCAGAGATTCCCCAGGATGCTTAAAGCCAAGTATTACAGCAGTGTCTTCAGGGTTCCTAAATGTGTGGGGAAATTTTAATTTAAATAAACTTACTAGGAAGCTTGAACTTCCAAATCATATGAGGCTTTTGAAGGTATTCCTTTAACTCTACCACACAAGTTCCCTAGTTTGTTTCCAGACAAATTAGAATTCTATGGATCAATTGACATCCACAGATAATAGGATTACAGACAAACCAAATAATGGAAGTACCAATCAATCAGGCTGAGAGAATTTTTTGGATGGCCTGAAACTAAGATAATATGACACAAGAGATATGATTCAGGTAATATGGAATTTTTTATACTGGAAGAAGTCTGCACCAATGTAATCTGAATGTAATAGTTAATAAGATATAAGAGGAAGAAAAGCAGAAGCTTACATGTTTCTGACACAGTGGGCAGCAGTGAGAATCCAAGAGCTGCTAATAATGGAACCACTGCAGATTTGACTGCTACAGCTTATTATAATTGCCTGCCAAGGCATCGCATAATGAAGAGAAATGCGATCTGTCAAAGCTGAGAGAAACATAAATGTGTAGTTTGTGAACTCTTATTGGTATCCCATATTTTCATTTTATTAGTTACTAATATATCTGTTAAACAGGTTAGTATCAGGAATTGTGGCTTAGCTTGACATAAGGCTGTCAATTTATCTGTGACATGCCTGAGAAAACATCCCCCATTATCATTCCAAGCACATTTTTCTTTATTATTCAGATTATATTACCTCAATCAAATTATTAGCAATGAGTCCAGCTTTCTCTTTAACTGTATACCTCACATAGCTATTATCTTAGCATGTTAGAATTTATTATGGCACTTACTTACATAAGTAGAGCAGAGTTACGCATAAAATGATAAATAAATTAAAGTTTTGGAGTTAGCACAACTATACAGTAAGCAAGAGAAAATATTTTACTAAATTTATAATCTACATAATGTAGATAGTATTAATGGTAAATTCTGATTTAAATGTTGGTTAGCTGTACATGTTCAGACCAAACTGATAAATTGTCAGATTATAATTTATATAGGTATGTTAATTTTATTTTATTTTTATTTTTTATCATTTTATATATATATATATATATATATATATATATATATATACACACACACACAAAATGGATAATTCTATTGCTAGTATCTATTAGTTTATCAAATAGAACATTTTGTGTATTTCTTATTTAATAATTTTTGATGCCTAAATTTTGTAATCTGGGGATCTGTTTTTAAGATAACAATATGCAATGTAATCATTAGTGTTGCTTTCCCATTATTTTTGAAATTCCATGTCATTTTTACACTTTTGTTTTTGGTTTCAAATTAAAAATACAAGATAGGAAACAAACTTTAGATCTCTTCAAAGGTCAACATGCTTAGGGAGTGCTGGTTAATATATACACTGAGAAAAGCAAAAAAAATACTGCCCATCATTTTCCAATTAGAAATGAGCAAAACATACAGTGGAACCTCAGGTAATAACCCTAATTTATATTATAATTTAGAAATGATGGCTACATGTGTGCTTTTGTGATGAAGATGCCCTGGATTTTATTCATCACTCAACATGGAGTTTTCTAACTGAAACAACATTTTGCCAGTGCTTTATAGAACCAAATTGTTACAAAGAGAAGCTCCCATAAATTGAGGTATCACTATGTAGCTGAAATTTAAAGCATAACTTGGATCCTCAAGATAACCTGTTTCAAGTTCTCCATGTGGCTCAGGATTTGAGCAAAGAAGGTTTATGTCCTCATTTAGGTAGGAAAGATAGTCATCTCTAGGAGAGGCAGCTGATAAATGGTTTTACTTAGGTAAAAATGTAATACATAGGTCTGAAATGGATGCCTGAGTAAGTAAAGATAAGCAGAGAAATGTAAAGTGGTAATTGAATATGTTGTGAGACACTTCAGGATAGGCAAGGGAAGAAGGAAAGTGATGAACACAGTGTCATATAAGTTGGATTACACAGGAACTGACAAAGAGCTACCACCTGCTTGCCAACATATTTATAATATATTTACTAGTTGCACAAGGTTACTTGGCAAAGAAGCAACTCAAAATAACACATAAAAGCTCATCATTAGGTTGTTTTACTTTACTTCTAAGAATGTGATAGACATTTTCACCTTTTAGGGTCTCAAGAGTTTTTTAAAATAATTAGTGTCACCATTATCCAGGGATTTATGACAGTGACATAATACACACTACTGCATAAGTCCTTAGTATTTTTATTTAACATTTTTAACACATACAAACTCATACTATTCATGAAGTTTGCTTTCCCTCCAACTCCATTCTGCTTTCCTACTTCCACCATCCTCTTCATTCCCTTTTCATACCTTTACTGCCATTGTCTTGTGATCTTCTCTGAGGCTGTAGTAGAGGGATGAAGTGTGATTGAACAGAAGCTGAATTGCCAGTAAAAACTGAGGCATTTATAGAAGTAGTGACTGAAGGGGAGGCAGAAACAGAGGGCGTCATGGCTGCTTGCTGAGACCAGGGTGCAAGGCTGGGCCGTGTTACTCCACGAAGCCAGAAAATGAAAGGGCTCACTTGGATGAAGACATAGGGCTTTATGCAATGTTCATCAAAGTGACTCAATATTCCCACCTGCACCCAAGTGTTCTTTCGTGGTAGACGGCACACTAGAGGTGCCCCTACGTCACCCTGTAAGAAATAGGGAAGAAGTTCATTTGATAACATGGGGAATTCTGAAAGTAATTTAAGTGTTCAATAGTATTGCTTTTACCCCATCCATTTCATAGGCCCTGAATTTGTTACCTTACAATCATCTTCCCCAGTAGCTTTCTTGGCTTCCACACAGAAAGTAAATTCACTTGCTGTGGGCCAATATTCTTCACAAGTGCTGGTTTGCAGAATACTTAGGTGTCTTTTTTGCAGAATTCCAGGTCTTCCTGGTTAACAAGAGAGAAGAATGGCTTGTTTCATTTTTTTTTTCTATTTTGTTTTGTGTTAAATTTAGCCTAAATTTTTGTGACTAATATGGCTTGAGAGAGATAATAAAGGAGTATTCTCTCAAGAGAACACCATTCTGATTACCAGCAAAACATTTCATTCTACTCCACTTCCTTCGTTAATACTTACCCCTCAGAAGGGACCAGCTAGATAGCCAGCAATCATATAGTGGCTTATTTTTCTCTTGCTCCATGTTATCCTCCAGACAAATAGGAAGCACGAGGGGTTGGAGATGTAGTGGCTCCTTCAGAAAGATCAGGCCGGGTCCTAGGGGCCCTGAGGGACCTATATAGGGCATGGCACGGTGAATGCCCACAATATGAGTTTGAGCTGGTCCCTGGAGGTCAATAAGCCCCACTTGCACCATGGACAGTGTCTCTGAACTTTTTCTGGAAGAAAAAGATATCAATTGGTTTACTATCTCCCCATTGCAATTTGGAAAAGAAGCTCAGATGTCACATGAATTGGCTTCATAATATGTGGACTTACTCTTATTACCTAATCTATGTATTGCCATCAAATATATTAGAAACAAATCACACTATTAGTTATAGTAAGGGATTATTAATTCCATTAGGGGAAAACATTTTGAAATGGCTTGAATTGTTAATGTTGCAATGCAATCAAACCTTTGTTGCTAATTCTGACATGAATCCAACTAAGGCACTTGAGTTGTGGAGCACTTACCTGGGACACATAAACTTCTGAGTTGTTTCTCCAGCCACAAATGTGTTAGAACTTAATTACTCCACACTCTAATATTTATTGTTTAATAATTGAATGTAAAACACATAACTATTGCACTCTCTAACAGTTATGATGTTCAATAATTGAAGCTAATACACATTAAAACTTAAAAATGAAGCATGCTGCTAAAAAGTGATGTTTTGGACACCCATCCCCTCATTCTGAAAAATATTTCACTTGTGTAAACTAATGTGTTGACCACACCTTTGAAACGAAGAAATTCAGCTACACAACTGAATTTGGTTATTAAATCTGGAAGTCTTTTATATGGTGTTTTTGGGGTGTTGTATACAGAATATCAAATCATCTGCAATAATAATAATTTCTTTTCCAACCTTTTTCTTTTTATTTCTCTCTTGTCTAATGGCTCTGGCTAAAGTTTCCAGCACATGATGGTGATAGTAAACATCTTTGACTCTTTGCTGATTTTAAAGTTGAAAGCTTTTGGTTTTTGTCAATTTAGTTAGCTATTTCATATTGATTCATAATAGATACACAAGCAACACTCAAAAGCCAGTAGTATTGTTGTACATAAAAAAGTAATGCTCCAAGAAATGAAGTAGGGAAGTCATATCATTAATCATAACATCAAAACATGAGATATTTAGGCATCAATCTAACAATGGAAGTGAAGAGATATATACTGAAAATTATGTTTTGAAATATTGATCAAAGATTATAGCAGAAAAGGGAAAGATGTCACTTTCTCATGGATAAGAATTGCATAAATAGTGAAAAAAGGCTATTCTCAAAAAATAACAGAATCTCAATAATACCAATAAAAGGGCTGGGCATTTCAGAGACATAATTACCTACTGGAAAGTGCAAGGTTATGAGTTCAAACCCCAATACCAAACAAAATGCCATTAGTATACCTTATTGAACAATAGAAAGTATTTTGAAAATTCAAGAGGCCTAGAAGAACAAAGATAGTCCTGAGCAACAAAGATAAGGTAGGAGGCATCACGATGCCTGAGTTAAAAATAACTTTTTGGGGTAGCCAATAATCCAACTCAGGACCTTAGGCTTGGCAGGCAATCACTGATGCCCCACTGTTGTATTGCCAGGCGTCTGAGTGTAAATTTCTCATACTTTTTTTTTAAGAGGAAAAAGAGAAAAACACAAAACAAAACAAAGCGGTGTAAGGGTACACGTAATACAGAACTACAAAAAAAATATAACAGTAAGAAATCACCTGTTAGTAGATTACATATTAATTATCATCTTGAAAATAGTTGCTCAAATCACAGTATCAAAGAATACAAGGTGGACATTCAAACAGGGAGACTGCAAACAGCTGTGTTCAATGATCCAAAAACATTGATATAGTCAGCTATTTAACACCCCTAAACACACTTGCTGTTATATCCGTTAGAGCTCTTTTTCTTTTTTTTTTTTTCCTCTCTTTTTTACAACAAAATTTACACATTTTGGATTTTATTACTCCTTAGTGCTTATTACTTTTTTGGTGGGGGGGAGAATACAGTCAAATATGGCAAAACAAAGCTGTCAGTCAATACCAAGGATAGACATAGCACATGGTGTAGAACAGAGTACAAGGTTATCAACAATGGCTATCAAAGTTGTCCCTTGTTTCCTTAAAAAGAATTGTCTATCTCATTAGATATTATAAAGTTGGACAAAACAGTAGAGAACAAGACAAATAAAACTTAGGCATTGTAAACATTACAGGACTTCCAAAGAAGACAATAGTCAAACCAGAATGGGTATCTTAGTGAATCTTATTGCCTTCAAAGTAGTTGCCTATGTCTTCAAACTTGATACTATCATATAGAATGGAACAGAGTCTAATCAGTCAAAACAAGATCATGGGAGTACAACAGGACTTCAAAACAATTTAATAGGAAATCATAAAGAGTTACTATTTATATATCCTAATTTTTTAAATTTTTTCTTTAATTAAGACAAACATAAGAAATGACTAAATAATTTTTTTAAAACAATAAGGGGGAGATTGAGATAAAACAGGACATAACAATATAACAAAAGAGGTCAAAGCATGACTGTTTCAGCAACCTAGTACTTCACGCAAAGCTAATTGTTAATATCAGAATGGCACCAGTAAAAAACTAAATTAAACACAGTCCTGAGGATCACAGGAACAAATTACACTATATTGATACAGCTAAAAATGCACTTAGCACCCTTAATGACAAAGAGTGAAACATAGTAACTGTAGGAATGATACACTCTAAATAAGTGGTCCTGGAAAACCTGGCTTTCCACCTAAGTAAGATAAAAATGAGGCCCATGTCTGTCACCCTGCATGAAACTAAAGTTAAAGTGGCTCAAAGATCTAAATATTAATAAACAAACAATAAATTTTCTAGAAGTGAGCACAGGTTGAAATCCCGAAGACACAGGTGTCAGAGAGAGTTCATGAACCAAACCTAGACTGCACTGGAAATACTGTAAGGAATCAAAAACTGGGCTCTTACCTTCTCAAAAACATTTTACATACAAAAGAATTCACCAACAGAGCAAAATGAACCCCAGAGTGGTAAAATATTTTATCCAGTTGCCCCTCAGACTTATATATATATATCCATCACCAAATTTCACAGATTCAAAGATCCAGTGAAAACACGGGCATCTGATATAAATACTTAATTCTAGGATAAAGAAAATGAATGATAAATGAACGAATGAAAAAAATGTTCAACATCATGAGTCCTTTGACACATGCACATTAGAAAATCACCACAGAAAGAATGACCATCATAAGGAAATTAACCCAGTAACCAGTGCTGGGGAGATTGGGAAAGAAAGAGCCCTTCTCCATTTTTGATGGCTGTGTGGAATGATGTGATCACTGTGAAAATCAGTGTGGAGATTCCTTGAAAACTAGGACTTCAAATTCCCTTTGACCCAACTAGTCACTTTCTGCAAATTTTCACAGAATATTACAAGCATCATATCACAGAAGCATGCATGTAGCCATGTTTGTATCAGCACAATTTGCAGAAGGTAAATGTTGGAAACAACGTAAATGTCTATCAACTGAAGTGTGGATTTTTAAAAGCAGTATTTTTTTTATAATGGGAGTTTTACTTGGCCAAAAATAAGCATAAACTCAAGGCTTCTGTAAGGTAAATGGAGAAAACTTGAGACCATAGTTACAAGTGAATAAACCAGACTCATATGTGTAAACATCACATTGTGTTCCTTGTGTGAGGAACTGAAAAAGAAAAGAAAGGCTAGATGGGCTAGATGTAGACACACCACTCAAGGCCTCTTTCAGACTTGTTCTATGGTGGCAAGCTGGTGGATGTGTCAGTGGCATGGATGCATGCCTGCTCCCAGATGCTGTTGGCACACAGCATGGGCCATGGTACCCGGGGTCCAGCTCCACAAGTGTGGCGCATCCCTGGGCTATGTGCCAATGCAGCCAATGCTTGCATGCATAATCTTGTGAAGAGCATAATAACTGCCTTTTAATGTGTATTGTCTATCACAGTCTGAGCAAATGACTCCAGGGGTGTGCTATTGTAGTAAAATGCAGAGAGCTGTGGAATACACTGATTCTTTTAAAATGAGTAAGAGACACTTGACAGGCCTGAAGACTTTAAGAAGGAATTGTTCATATCTGCAACACAAATGAAGGAAGTGTCTGAGCCCTTCTTCAATGGAAAAGCATTTCAACAATTATTGTGGTGCAAGTGGTGCAAGAATGTAACATTCATCATAATAACTCCTTGGTGCACAAGTCATCTAGCACTCCATAGCCTTAACGGTAAAAGTGATCCACATGTTAAACCTGGTTCATGAGGACTTCATTGATGATACAAGTTCTTTGAGAAGAAACCAAGGATTTAACAAGATAAAGCGTGTAAATGAGGCTTGTCTTGCTGGAGATTTAATTCTTTAAACAGCATCTACTACTCTGGAATTGCAAATACTACTGCTCTATCTATTTTAACTGCAGTTACTGAATATGTGATATATGGTTAGTTTTTCCATTAAGGATTCAAAGAACATGAACATAAGAAATTTTCCCTCAACCTTGAAAAGAACTGCAATAAGAACACGTGTCTGAATGACAACCATTGTAAAGAACCCTATGTCCTGGGAACCCAGACCCAGTAGTACATATTATCACTTATCAATATGGAAGAAATGTGGGAATGGCTTTTAGCTCAAAAGCGATGTGCTTGCTGCACTTCATCTCGCTTTCAAAAACAAATGGCCAAACTGATGTCCACTGATCTGAAGCTCAGATTAGCTACTGGCCCCTCTTGTCTGCATTCCAGCCCAGTGCTGGTGTGAGGCAAACAATTTATCTCACCTAGAAGTACTGCCATGAAGCAATAAGGATGAGGAAAGAGGGAAAAAGGAATGGAAAGGGGTAAATATACAAGTCATTTATACTAGCAATGTCTCTGAGTTCGCTTAAAAGGAAGTTTTAGACTAATATAAGTTGGGGAAACTTTTTTTTAATTTTATTTAAAAGGAAAAAGAGAAAAACACAAAACAAAACAAAGCGGTGTAAGGGTACAATTTTGATAACTATATCCTTAATAACTATTTTACAGATGACAGTGTACAATATATTAACCATTTTATTTTCCTATTTTAATGAAATTTTGTTTTACTCTTCTATAAAGTAAAAAAAATTACAAAT